ACATATTTTCTGTCTCTACATATTTAACACAATGCGAAAAGCTTGAATTTTATTGCTCTTTCCAAAGTATGCACGTATCCTTGACAATTACTCTACATAATGATATCGGTAATGTAACTATAAAGCGTTGGTAATATACCGACACTTTTAGTTACGTTTAGATGAGGGCGCTAACCCGTCGGAGTTCGCCCGTCGCTCCGGCATCCTCTTAAGCATCAGGCCCCCAACGAGAAGGGGGCCCCCAAACAACTACCGAATCGACACTTACGAGAACCATATATAGTATCAGACTAGAGATACGTATTATTCTGTATAGTCATAATCAGATGGGTTATCCGCGTCTTCTTTGGTAAGAATTCTCCGTATACAATTTTAATCATTTATTTAACATTCCCAATAACAAGTTGTGAAGCAAAAAGAGGTTCCTCTAAATTATCTTTTATAAAATATAAATACAGATCTAAAAAGAGAGATAAAATTATTTATTAATTCTTTCAGAAAGTGACATCACAAGATCTGTTACTTATGACGAAGCCATAAAAGTATATATAAACGTGAAATGTAAAAAAAAATGTTTAAACTTTTGTTCTGAAATGCTTTTGTCTTTTACATTTATGTTTTGTTTTATATCTATGTCAATTATATTTATTAATATAATTTGTTTCTGTAAAACGTTAATGTTTCTGTAAATCGTTTATAGTTTTCATGAATATCATTTATTATGAATATATTTTATTCGAATTGTATATTTATTAATGTTTAAATGTTATCATAAACTGTTATCTAGATAGAATAGAAAATTATAATGATGTCAAAATAACGAGAAAACGATAAATTATGATAGAAAAGTTAGTTTTTATAGTAATTTTTTCGTCGTTTTTTGACGTCATTGCAATTTTCTATTCTGTCCGGAAAAAGGGCCTCTGAAATAGTATTAGCATCAGGCCCCGAAAAGTCACCAGCCGCCCCTGAGTGTGATGCACATTTTACGCAAATAATAGAGCAAACCTTGCCGTGCACGGCATGACAGCAAATTTGTGGCAAAAACAGGACAAACCTTGCTGTGCACGGGATGACAGCAAATTTGTGGCAGGAATAGGGCAACCCTTGCCGTTCACGGCATGACCACAAATTTGTGGCAAGGATAGGGCAAACCTTGCCATGCACGGTATGATAGCAAATTTGTAACCGAATGACCCGATCGGGGGCGGTTTTTCAGGGGCCTGCGTCCTCCTAATTTAGGGAGAGAGCGGCCCGATCGTCAGATCGATGAGATCTGACTTTTGGTTGTAATAATTAGCGAAAATGTAAGCTCGAGATAAGCCCGCAAGCTAGTTGTCGGCATAAGGTCGAGCGGCGGGATCCCATCCGGCGGAAAGGAAGGAAGAAGGAAGAAGAACGGCCGAGAGCGGGAGTCCGAGATCTCCAGAAAGCGGGAACCGCCAGGTCGTAATCATCTTAATTATTATGGTGCCTTGGCTAAAAATTATCGTTGTTGCCATTCATGTTCTTTTATCTTTTACAGCAGGAGAGAAGGCGGAGGGCCGGAGGCATCCAGCCAACGGCCATTCCACCCGCGCGAAGCGAGGGAGTCCCCAAAGACGGAGCGGCGAGACGGCTCTCACCCCGGGACCTATTCAATCAAATAGGGAAGAGAGCCGCTGCCGAAAACCCGCAACTCTAAACAGGAAAACAACGAATTTGAAAAATTACGGGGCGAGGAACCCGACGATACGGCAGTAAGGACAGCCAGGACCGCGAGGACCACAGGACGGCCATGCGTAACGCGGAAGCGCCATAGGTGGCACGATCGCGATTCATCGCGCCGGTGTGTTTCCCGCAGGACTCTCGTTCGGCACTGTTCGGCGAGCTATCAGGAAGGACGCAGGTCCCTAAGAGCGTGCGAGCGAGATCAGATCTTTCGAAGGAAACCCGAAGTATTCCGGCCGGTGGGACGAGCGTCGTCGACCCATTTTTGTTGCTGATTGATTATAGGTAATCAGTTCGGAGTCGCGCCCTTAATAGTTGTCGAGCCACGCGTTTTGGTGAATTACTTTTGTGGAATTTTTGGTAGATTGCGTCGCACGGCCGGCGGGCATTTGTCACTCATCCGGATTATATAAAATAAGCTCTCTCTCTTGTATCGCGCCGCCGCCGACAGTCATTAATGTTCGTTTCGCGTTAATAATCATTGTATGTTGTAAATTATCGGGATTTTCACGTTCGTGCGATCGATTCGGGATCGCGCAAAGTATTGCGTCACGCGACTCGTACACCACAGTCATTCTCGGTAGTTTTCGTCTTCTTTTTGCGTATGATTAGCAACCATCTTGTACACGTTATATGTAATTAGAGTGAAGAGAAAGCGTAATTCTCAAATATCGGGCGGAGTATTTATCGAGTGTCTTGAAGCCCGCTATTAGTTTCCGCGAGTCCTTCGAGTTATATCTTGCGTATTTCGACGCCAAGGTCGTCGCTATTGTTATCGAGGCAAAGATCGGCTCACCGCGAACCTGACTAAAGGACCGATTCGAGTCATACGATCTAGAATTTTTTATTATATCGAAGCGGATTCACGGACGTGCGTAAAATAGTTACCGGCGCATTCGAGGAATTTCTTTAGTTGTCGCGGCCTAAATAAGTCTCGTACGGCGGAAATCCTCGCGGCCGAAAAGTCGAGTTTAAAGCACGTAAGACGCCCTGTAATTAGATACTGTTGCGCACGGTCGTGTCTATCTCCGAGGAAATAATATAACATCTCATTCGCCTGTAAAATATCTACTGTCATCAAAGACTATTACTTATGCGAACTACTCTATACTCTTGTTTCTTTTTAATATATTATTGTTATTTTTATCTTAACATATCGAATACTCAATTTGGCTTCCGTGTTCTCGACTCTCAAGATCTCTCCCGTCTCCCCCGAACCTCCCCCTCTACCATTTCTATATATACTGAGTATACTGGGTATACTGAGTAGCCGCGGAATTTTGCCGTCGCGTAATTATCGGTCTCGCAATTGTATTTTGGTGTTGCTATTGTTGTGAATGGTGCGGCCTGCCGTACCTGATGCCCAACTTGGTTTATCTTGTGATAAATTGGATTTTTCTGGATCGCGGGATCGATATTCGAAATACGCGCCGAAGATGTACCGTGGGTACTGAAGAACCACCCGCCGAGAAATCAAATAATTATTAATGAAATAATTGAAAGAAATACGGTTACAATATATATATATATATATACAGGGTGTCCCATAATTTGCGGATCACCCGCCATGTGCAGGTAGAGCACATGAAACCGAGAAGAAAAGCTCTTTACTATTTTGCGATTTTCGTAATAATTATTAAGAAATTAATTTAAAAAGATGGGCCAATCCATTACTCAGGGCGATGACCTTGACAACATATGTCAAGGTCAAGGTCATTGGGGCTGGGTCCCCTTTTCTCAATATTTACCTTGTATATTTGTATGTATGCATGTGTTGTAAGATATATTAATAGATTTCTTCTATTTCAATATTAATAGAAATCTTTTATTAATTTGTACTCAAGTACAATAATTTTTTTTTTATTTAATTTTCTCTCATGATAGCACATACACTTACGTCCATAGTGCAGTCGGCATCATTCCTTCTACTGTACCAGCAGCAGGTTTTAAATCTTCATTGCATAAAAAATGTAATGGCAAATCGACCAAATGACCCTAAACGACATCCTTTTGATGTAGAAAACAATTAACTTACACATAAGCATTTAAAAGATACCTACCTTAATATTTTCCGTTATTTCTTGTGCTAATAATGGATCAGATAATGAGATAGGTATTCTATCTTGATATTGTTTCAGCATAGAGAAATTGACTACTGTATCGGTGGGAATACATTGAAATACTTCTTCATATATTTTTGTGTTTTGTTTGCTTCTAGCGCACCATATGTCCTTGTAGAAGGATTTGATAATGGCGTCATCGATATTGATATCTTCTTCAGTATTTAATAGTCCCAAATGTTCACGGAATAATTGTTTTCTCAAAGAAGAAGCAAATTTGCCACAAAGAAAAGGTATATTATTCATGCGTCCATCTTCAAATTCCTGATCCTGTTTACGATTATAATTTTTATTAATTTACATCGATAATGATAAAATTAACAACTTGTTTTACCAAATAGCATAAAATACTGTGACGATATAAGTCAAAGATATATCAAACACAATATCAAACTCATAAATTTTAACATGATACACGATTATTGCAAAAATCGTATTCATATATATACAGGGTGTAACTAAACAAACGCATATGGACAATACCATCAGATACAGAACAACAATTCAAATCGAAAAGTCATGAACCATTTTTTGATCTGACCTTTCTTATTACGGGTACTTATCATACAGCCCTCGTATGTATATATATATATATATATATATATATACATAATATACATGAGGCACGCATAGAAACCTAAATAGTTAAAAATGTATACAAAACATTAAAAATTAAAAACTTATGCAAAAATTAAAAATTAATACAAAATCAAAAAATAAAAAAAGTTTTTGTTAAAACTCTTGGCGCTGCTAAGTTTCAAAATTAATAAATGCAATGTATGTTAAAGTAACAAATAATTAATTGAATTTTAACATTATTACATCAATAACTGCAACGTAAGTGTACGGAATACATATCATATTGTTCAGTTTAGCAACGCCAAAATTCAACAAAAAATTTTTGATTTTGTATTAATTTTTAATTTTCGCATAAGTTTTTAATTTTTAATGTTTTGTATAAATTTATAATTTTTTATTTTTGTATGAATTTCTTTTATTTTTGTTTTTTGTTTTATATTATCTTTTTTTTATATAACTTTTCAGAATATATATGGTTATTAAAATGTATACATATGTGATTGTTTATTTTATATCATCTTATATAATTTTTTATAATAAATATATCCCAAAGCGTTAAATGTATATACATATATTACAATTATGTGCACTTAATTAATTATAAAATAACTCTATTTTAGTTATAACTACTACTTTAATTATATTGCAATTTATTAAATATAATTTTTCTTAATATCGGAAATAAAAAAATTAATAAATTGTAACGCGGTCACCTCGCTCGACGCTCGGATCGGCTCGTCGGTGTCCGGGTTCGAGAGGAGGGGAGATTCAAGCTTGCGTAGACACAGTATAGGTAGAAAAGATAGTTTATTGCAGGTGAATGCGCGTTAGCTTAATATCTACGATGACGTTATTTACACGCGGGTTGATCGCGACGCGGTTTTCCCGGTCGGGCTTCTTTCTAGCGGTTTATAATTACGGCGCGATTCGCAGGTACGGACTTATAATTAGCAGGCTTATAATTACGGCGCGGTTCGCAAGCGCGGACTTGCCGGACTTATTACTAGCAGGGTTACTTCGACGGCGCGGTTATAGCTAGCGGACTTATTACTAACGGCTTATAATTAGCGCAGCGGGAAGCGTAAGCGTGAAGCGGTCGGCGTGAAGCGGTGTGCAGCGGGAAGCGGATTTGACTTAACTAGGATTCTATTTACATGCGCGTTAGCTTAATATCTACGATGACGTTATTTACACGCGGGTTGATCGCGACGCGGTTATCCCGGTCGGGCTTCTTGCTAGCGGTTTATAATTACGGCGCGGTTCGCAAGCGCAGACTTACCGGACTTATTACTAGCAGGGTTACTTCGACGGCGCGGTTATAGCTAGCGGACTTATTACTAACGGCTTATAATTACGGCGCGGTATCTACATGCACTTATTACTACGATCAGGGTAGGCGGCTGGGTATTGCCGGCAGGCCCGAGTGTCACGTCGAGCTCCGCCTGCAACGGAAAACCGGAAAACCCGGCGGGGCTGAGAAAACCTCTCCCCGGAAGGTACAGGAACCGGAAAACCCGGCGGGGCTGAGAAAACCTCTGCCCGGAAGGGTACGGGAACCGGAAAACCCGGCGGGGCTGAGAAAACCTCTCCCCGGAAGGTACGGGAACCGGAAAACCCGGCGGGGCTGAGAAAACCTCTGCCCGGAAGGTACGGGAACCGGAAAACCCGGCGGGGCTGAGAAAACCTCAGCCCGTAAGGTAGAGAGAGCCAGAAAACCTGGCAGAGCCAAGAAAACCTTAGCCCCTAGAGGTAGTGGTCAGGTCGGTGTCAGGAGCAGGATGTCGGGACAGGATCTGGTC